TGAACCTTTCTAAAAACAAGTTTTACAAGTCTGAGAGTTTTGGGAAGAGATTCTAGAATATAATCTATCATTACATTTATAAAACTTATCAACACAGCTCTCAATTTCATAACTAAAAACGTTTAGCCACTTGCTGATTATAAAATAATATTATCATTGTCAGTACTTGAATACGTGGAGTCTGGGAAATCAAACAAATCCTAAACTCCAAAACTCTGCGCAGACTCTATTCTGAGAAGCAAACTTCTAACTTTACACCTTTAAACAAGATCTACGAATCAGCTTACTGCATTCTTTTTGAAGCATTAGGATTATCTTAAGACAAGTCCATCACAAAGAAATTCCATGACATTAAATTTCTTGACCTTGTCTAAACCATTTAGAAAAAACCTTAAATTAAGCACTAATATACAAGAGTAAAATGTAAATAATGTTTTTAAACATTAGAAACAGTTTTTGAGAAGTAATACATGCTTATGGTTAAAAAAAATATTGTAGCTAAAACCACATATAGAGATTGAAAAATAGTCTCCTTCCAGAAAAATACTGTTACTTTTTTAATGCATTCTTCTAGGAAAATTCTATGCACAATTTAAGAATATACAATAATGATAAGCCCGATACTACTACTACTACATGCATTGTTCTAAGCATTTTACAAATAAAAACTCATTTAATTACTACTATCACCATTTCATAGAGGTGGAAATTGAGGCACAGAGATGTAAATAAGGTCTTCAAGATCACACAGCTTGATAAAGGATGCAGTTTAGATGTTAACTTCGGCAGCTTCATAATTACAACCACTATACCTATAACTGAATGCGTATTCTTCAAAAAAGTTAGCAAATATATTGTCCTTCATGCTGCTCATCTAAGTATATTTAAAATGTAGTTTTAAATTTTTAAAAATTATTTTTCAAAGTTTGATTCTGGCGCTATGTGTGTAAGCTTTATTACAAAGAAATAAGTGAGGCAACTGAAAATGTGATCCTTCGCATCTGGAGGAATCCGCATAAACAATTTTTCATGTACATAAAGAAAAAAAGACTTTATTTTGCCTACAAACCCAGACTTAAAGCTTTTAAGCTACAATCACAAAAAAAGTATTTTAAGTTTACATTAAAAATTTACTTTAAAATAAGAAAATACCACAGATTGTCCTTTCATAGGACCTAGAAATCCAGTTGAATAGAGAGGCCCGTGTTTGCTTGTGATGCTCTTTCTTTGCACAGCTTTTCCTTTCTCGTGCTTGTGTCTTTAACCACCTACTAACCACCATTTTAATAAGGAAGGCATGCTTTAAGCCAGGATAGTCTGCCAGCAAAGGGTAGAGCTGGGCTGCAGCAGCGAGTAGGAAGCAGGCAAGTCCACATCCAGGGCACAATAATAGTTTGAAACTATTACTCCTAAATTCTCTAATCTCAAGAATTCCTATAACATGTAATTATAGTTAATGTTATGAAGTTCAAATATTGATAATTTTTCATCATGTCATAGAATTCACAAATGAAGGAAAGAAATAGTCAATCTTTAACAACCTTTTACCATTTTAACTACCTTGCTTACCATTACTTTTGGTGCTCAAATGTCCTTTAAATAGGCATGGTGGACCATATCTGGGAAGGACAGAGGTTGCTCTGACTTTTAACAAAAGAGAAACATGAATTAGGATACATGAAACAGAACTTTCACAAAGATAACAATATTGAACATTTAAAAAATAATAAATTACCTTTCATTTAACTACTAGAGTTGTTTAAAATTTTATCCAATCATATTACTAACCAGAAATGATGTATCAGACAGAAAAAAATTCTGCAGCTATTGATAAACAAGTTTTCTCTTTTAAGAAAATAAATTATTTTCAAAACGGTTTCGATTTGAGACTTTAGTATTGCTGGGTAAAATGTACATCAATTATATTATTTAATATATACTGACTATTCTGTACACCACTGACTTACTGGATTTTACATAATTTTGAGATATAAGAGAACTGAGATTTTGAGTAAATACATATATATTAACTATTTCAGTTAATCATAGGCTAGTCTGTCCTAAAAAATATTAAAAGTAATCCTCCCACAAAGTAATTGAGTAAATTAGAAGTTATATCATGTTACTATGTATAAAATAAATACATATATATGTCAGGATCAGAACTTAATGTTTTTCTTTTTTAACTTTTAAAAATTAAAAAAAATAATTTTTTTATTTTTCAAATATTGTTGGCATAGAATATGATATTAGTTTCAGGTATATAACATGGTGATTAAACATTTATATTAAACTTACAAAGTGGTCATCCAAATAAATCCAATACATATCGGATGTCACAGTTATTCCAATATTATTGACTATATTCCTTATGTTATACTTGACATCCCCATGACTATTTTGTAACTACCAATTTGTACTTCTTAAGCCCTTCCCCTTTTTACCCATTCCCCAACCCCCCTCCTATCTTACAACCATCAAAATGTTCTCTATATCGATGAGTTTGTTTCTGTTTTGCTTGTTCGTTTATTTTGTTCTTTAGATTCCACATGTATGTGCAATCACATGGCATTTGTCTCTCTCTAACTTACTCCACTCAGCACAATATCCTCTAGGTCCATCCATGTTGCTGCAGATGGCAAGATTTCATTCGTTTTTATGACTGAGTAATATTCCATTGTACATATACACCACCTCTTCTTTACCTATTCATCCATTAATGGATGCCTCCAAATCTTGGCTATTGTAAATAATGCTGCAGTGAACAAATGGATTCACATGTCCCTTTGAAGTAGTGTTTTGGGTTTCTTTAGATATACAGAAGTGGAATTACTGGGTCCTTCTTTGTCTTATTATAGCTTTTGTTTTAAACTCTATTTTGTCTAGTATTAGTATTGCTACCCCAGCTTTTTTTGTTTGTTTCCATTTTTATGAATTCTTTTTCCCTCCCTTGACTTTCAGTCTGTGTGTGTCTTTCATTCTGAAGTGAGTTTCTTATAGGCACCATTTGCAAGGTATTGTTTTCTCACTCATTTATCCACCCTATCTTTTGATTGGAACATTTAATCCATTTAAATTTAAAGTAATCGTTGATAGTTATGTAGTTATTGCCATTTTATTATTCACATTTTTTATCTTTTTAAAAAATTCTTCTTAAAGAAGTCCTTTTAACAGTTCCTGTAATACCGGTTTGTTGGTGATAAACTCTTAGCTTTTTGTCTGGGAAGCTCTTTATCTGTCCTTTGATTCTAAACGATAGCTTTTCTGGGTAGAGTAATCGTGGTTGTAGGTCCTATTTTTCATCATTTTGAGTATTTCGTACCAATCCCTCTGGCTTGCAAAGTTTCTGTTGAGAAATGAGCGGACAGTCTTGTGGGAGGGAGCTCCATAGGTAACTAATTGCTTTTCTCTTGCTGCTTTTAAGATTCTCTCTTTGTCTTCAACCTTTGGCATTTTAATTATGTTTCTTGGTTTGGACCTCTTTGGGTTCATCTTGTTTGGGACTCTCTGAGCTTCCTATGGTTGTATGTCTACTTCCTTTACCAGGTTAGGAAAGGTTTCTGTCATTATTTCTTCAAATAGGTTTTCAACTCCTTGTTCTCTCTCTTCTCCTGTGGTACCTCTATGATGTGAATGCTGGTACGCTCGGTGTTGTCCCAAAGGCCCCTTAAACTATCCTCATTTTTTTGGATTCTTTTTCTTTGTTGCTGTTCCAATTGGGTGTCCCCCAGTACCACATTCTCTAAATTGCTGATTCGATCCTCTGCTTCATCCAATCTGTTGATTCCCACGAATGTATTCTTCATCTCAGATATTGTATTCTTTATTCCTGACAGGTTATTTTTTGTTTTCTATCTCCACTTTTATATTTTCTTTGTTTAAGTTGTCACTGAGTTCATCTATATTTTCCTTAAGTTCATTGAATATCCTTACAACCAATGTTTTGAACTCTGCATCTGGTAGATTGTTTGATTCCATTTTGTTTCGTTATTTTTCTGGAGCTTTGTTCTGTTCATTCATTTGGGACATGGTTCCTTGTCCCCCAATTTGGCTGCCTCCTTTTGTCTGTTTCTATGTATTAGATAGGACTGCTACATCTCTTGGTTTTAGTTGAGTGGCCTTATGCAGTAGGTGTGCTGTGGGGTCCAGTGGCACAGTTTTCTCTGGTCACCTAGGCCAGGTGCTCCAGGTATGTCCTTTGTATGGGTTGTGTGTGCCCTCCTATTGTAGTTGAGCCTTGGTTGCTGTTTACATGTCGATGGGAGGGATTGAACCTCGGGCTGATTGATTATAAGGACTGGCCACTGAAGGGCTGACCCTGTGGGGCAGGAATTGCTTTAGCAGGACTCTGGTGCCTTCCTAGTCTGCCCGCTTTGGGTGTGCTGTCCTTGGATGCAGCCTGGGTGGTGCTGCAGCTCGGTCTGAAGCTGACCACTGGGCATGCCGGTCCTGGGGCATTCTGAGAGGCGCTGCCACAGGCCAAGTTCGGCTGCAGCCTGTGCCCTGCCTGAAGCCACCTGGCATGAGCCACCAGGCAATCTGCAGATGGCTGTCACCTGCGATAGGCTTAGAGGTGCCTAGAGGGGCCAAACCACGAAGTGAGGCCAGCTGCCGCTACTGCAGGGCTTTGGGCTGCTCATCAGGAAGTACGGGGCATGCCGAGGCCAGATGCTGCTTGTCTGGGTTTTGTTAACCTTTGAGTCATTTTAGGAAAGTCCGAAGCAAGAGCCAAGATAGATCATTTGTATGGAAAAGCCACTTGAAGTGGCTTGGGTGGGACTGCAAGTTGAGTGGGGCGGGGTCTCAGGGACTCTGGAGACTCACCTGGGTGGGGCAAGTTGTGTTAGCCGGGCTGATGGAGACTCAAGACATGGCGGCCGCCTGCGTCTGCACGCCGGGAGCAGTAGGGGGCTCAACAAAGAGGCAAAGGATTCCGTCAGGACTTCTGTCTGGGAGAAAGCTGCCACTCCAGCCCTCTCCCTGAAGCCAGACAACTGAGTTCCTCCCCACATGTCCCTGGTGCTCTTCGAACAACTGCCGCAGGCTGGAGCTCAGAGAGTGAGTCTGTCAGCAAGTAAGTTTGTGCGCCGGCCCCTAGAGAAATCCCAGCCGCCCTCCGTCTCGCTCAGCTCCAATCTCTGCTGGTTTTCACAGCCAGATGTTGTGGGGACTTCTCTTCCCAGCACTTGAACCCCGGGCTGGGGAGTCTGGTGTTGGGCTGGGACCCTTCGCTCCTCTGGGGGGACCTCTGCAGCTGTGATAGCCCTGCCTAATTTTAACCACCACATATGTGTGTGGGACAAGCCCATTCTGCATTTCTGCTCCTCCTAAAAGTTTCAAGGTGGCCTCTTCTGTATGTCCTTAGTTGTAGGAATTCTGCTCAGCTAGAGTTAAGGCGATTCTTCCTGACGGCTGTTCTGTAGTTTAGTTGTAATTTTGACGTGGTCGTGAGAGGAAGCAAGCACAACATTTACCTACTCCACCATCTTGACTGAAAATCCCAGAACTTAATGTTTAAAAAAGCTTAATGTCTTAAGGTTCATTTAGTCCAACTCACTTATCCTCTTACTTGGATCCTATCTAAACAGTCTATATTTGGAAGTCCCCCTTCCAAATTTATCTTACCTTGAATATTCTCCATTGGCTCTTGGGCAGCATATAGAGATTACATGTGTCTTACAGTTACTCTTTTATGATAGTTTAACAGTTCTTTAAACTTCCCTTGTTTAAATCACTTTATGGTTTCTATCTTTTGATTGGACCCAGATTGATAAAAAGGGGCATGAAAATTACCCTCAAACCAAATGCCAGGAAAAAAAAAATTATCCTCAAATTAGATTAGGACTAAAATCCTGTCCATGTGATCAACGGTCTTGCTAGGACAGTGAAATGCATCAGTATGTGCAAGCATCCCAATTCCTTACACCATGTGATTTCAGTATGATAGCTGGAATGAACTCCAGTGAGGAAAGGTGAAGGTGTTTCCTGTGGCAGAATTTCCCATGATAACTAGAAGTTTGGGAATCTGATGCCATTGATAAGTGTCTCTTTTGAACCAACAGATTAAAAAAATTTTTTTCAAGCTACTTTCGGTTATCTATACTAATAGGTTGTCTTCTTTCCTCTTCTCTCTAAAAGTCCAATATTGATAATCAAGTGAACGGCAGTTTGCTATTCTCAATCTTTTCTCCCCACTCCCTCTTGAGTCGAAAAGAAGATCTTATAGATTTCCCAGGCCACTATTTTACAAATAACAAAGTGCAGAGAGGGAAAGTGATTTGCTGAAGATTACCTAGTCAATAGCAAACAAGATTACAAACAAGATATACTGTTTTTTAGGCTGGTGCTCTTTCTATTATACAATCATACAGAAAGTTTGCCTCACAAAAGAACACCTGAAAATGTGATTACAGTAAGAAAATGACAAAAGGGAAAATGATTTTTTACTTTAGGTGTCTCAATATTTTGTGCTCTAAAATCATCAAAGGTAATCTTTAATGAAATCTAATGCTAATTAAATATTTTAGCATTGGCTAAAATTATTTATGGTTTCCTATCAATGATAATTATGGTATATGAGAACCGACTATCCCAAATATTTGTTGAATATTATATTTGTTTTAAAAATTCAAAATCAATAACAATGTTTGATACTACATATCTTAAAGATGAAACTAATTAAATTGCATGTTATAAAAATATAAACCTTTTTACATTTTGACATGAATCTAATTTTAAAAATAATTCAAGAAACAAATACTGAGAACTTACTGTTATACTCTAAATTTTACGTAAATCCTTTCCTATGACCCTACCTCTAGCATGAGATGGTAAGTAAAAACAATGACTCTAGGGTTTCACCTTCCCCACAGCTGGATTCAAAGCCTGTTCTGACACTGTGACCTTGACAAGTTTTTGTGCTCTCAGTTTATTTACTGTGAAATGAGGATAATACCCATCTGATAATGTTTCTTTGGATTAAATAATGAGATAACTTGGAAACAGTTTCTGGTATACAGCAAAGGCTTAATGTTAGTTTATGTTGTAAAATTTCAGAAAACCATAAAGCATGTTGACTTGTGCTTTCTGGAACTTAGATTGGTAAAATGTCAGGATATACAGTTCACTGACCAATGGATAGTTATCTCCTACATTCAGAGCAGCACTTAGTTTAATTTATAATTACATAATAATGTCACTCTCATATTCAAAGCAAAACTTATTACATAAACCATCTAGCAGCTTGGTGTAAAGGTATTTTTTAAAATAGCTAAGAACACTGAATTGGAAGGAGAGGGTCTAGAGATTGCCTTAGTGGGCTTGAAGAAAGAATGCTATTTGTTCAGAAAGAGTGATGCAAATTATTTGGATTGGGCCCATTCGTAGGGATTTACAGTTACATGACCCTAATTGTTTCACTGTGATGTCCACTTGACCCAGAGGGTAGTCAGTCAAGGGCAGGTGTATGCAGTGATTATGGATTAGTCCTTTGCTACTAAAGCTGTACCCAGCAATACTGCATCACTTGCAAACTTACTAGAAAAGCAAAATATCAGCCCTCCCCACCAGACCTGCTGAATCATAGCCTGCATTTTAACCTGATTCCCAATGACTTCTAATCACTTGAGAGAATCACTGGGTTACTGGATAGTTTTGGGCGGAGGGAGCTAGCTACAAAATGGAAGATTTCGTATTTACTGAGTACTTAAGAATATGCCAGGAGCTTTATATGTATTTATCTGCATTTAATCCCCAAAAACCCTATGACACGGTTGTTTTACCCCGCGTTCACGAGATGAGGAAGCGAAGGGTCACCCCTGTGGAGTGCAGCGTGGGCCCAGGGAGGTCTGACTCCAAAGACCAGATTTGGTTCCTGTGCTCTGGAGCTATCAAAGTAATAAAGGCTGCACGACCCCGAGTACAGAGGACAGAGCCTTCTGGAGTCAGGGCGACAAATTTTGAGCAAGAAGGGGACCTGTGAATCCACAGGCAGAGCGTTCTCCTGTGCGTGAGCACTGGGCAGCTCGGGGCAACATAGGTCCACACTGGAGACTAAGGAGGGGACCGGGGGCACCCAGCGCGCGGCCTGGACATGGATTCGGGACCCCAAACTCCGGATCCCGCGCGAGGCGCGAGACGGTGGTCGCTTGCAACACCTGCCCTTTACCTCTCCGGCTGCCATTCATGCTTAGATCCTCTTGCAGCCACCGCGGGGACACGCTGGGTCCCCTTCGGTCCTTCCCTGGGCCGAGCCAGCTCTCGCAGCAGAGGATTGTGAAGGGGTTGCTGGGGGGGAGGCCACAGGTGCTGGAGACGGTCGCCAGGTCGGTTGCTAAGGGCCGGTTCCACGGTGTCGGAATTGTGACGTCACAGCGCAGGACGTGCGCTCACGCAGCCCCGCCCCCGGGGGTACCGGGAGAGAGGTGGAGAGCCGCTGAGAAAGGCGGGGCCGGGCGGGGAACGTGCTCCAGGCGCCAGTCTGTTGCGCTGGGATTCTGCCAGTCATCCATAGAGCTGCCTCCTGTCAGGAGCCAAGCTGCCAGCACCTGGCAGGCCTTGTTCCTGCGGGTTCCTCCCTCCTCTCTCCTGCCCACCTCCATTTTTTTTTTTTAATCTTAAGGTTCCAATCTATTTCCTTTTTGGTGGAAGAGTGTTGCAACATGAGCCAAAGCGTTGATTTATCCGTGAACTTACACATTTGGATAATTTTGAAGCAGTTACCCTTCAATCCTTGGAAATAAGATCGGAGCGGGCAGGAAGCATTCTATAATGTAGCGATTCTCAATAGCGGCTCTATTGATATTTGGATGCATAAATTTTTGTTGTGGGAGGTTGTCCTGTGCCTTGTCCAATGTTTAGTAGGATTCTGGCCTCTACTCACTAGATGCCAGTACCAACCCATCCACTCCGCTCCTGGGTGGGACAAAAATGTCTCCAGACTTTGCCAAATGTCCCCTGGGGGCAAAGTCGCACCCCAGTGAGAACCACTGCTGCAATGGGGAAAGTACTGGCTTTGAAGCCAACTTTGTTGGAACTTAATTGTTAGTTTTCTGTTACTTATCAGCTTGACCTTGAATTAGTTTCTGAACCTCTCTGAACTGCCGTGCCTCTTTTCTAAAATGTAAAAGATGCTACTATGTAGTTGCAAGGATTAAAATGTACATAACCTGGCAAGTGAAACAAGGTATTCAACAAATAATAGTTTTCTCTAAGACTGCTGTCAGAAGAGTTTGGGTATCAGGGCAGGCATAAGGGAATAAATCAGAAACCCTAAAATACAGAAAAAAGGAATAAGCCAGAAATCCTGTTGTACTAACAGCTGAACTCCTGGTTCTCTAAGACTCTGGGGAAAGGAGAATAAGTTTCAAAATTTGAGGAAGTGGAAGTGTATGTGATGGCTCTGTGGCCCCAAGAACAAAGGGCATTTAGAAAGATATGGGGGCAGAGAGTCAGCTGTTACCCAGAAAACAAAAACTCTCTTGAGTACCTACTCATTAATGCTTGAAGTCCCCATCTAAGAACATGAAGCAGTTTATTACATCACTAGCATCTGGAAAATACCTTGCATATAATAAGCCTCCAGTAAGCATTTGTTTAATTGAATTAGAGCTAAAACTTAAAGGGCGAACACCTCTGGGAGAGGCAACGCAAAGACTCGATTCACAAAATGGTGATGCCAGCCCCTCTTATGAAAGTAGATTTTGGCATGAAAAGTAGATTTTGGTTTGAAATAGAAAGGGGGCTCTGTGACTGGGAGAGGACAGCAAAACAGGAGATGGTTCTAAAGACTAGTGCATGGTATCCAACTTCAACTGAGGTCGTCATCATTTCATTATTTCTCTTTTAGATATTTTGTTCCAGTTCAGAAGTGGAGGGTTTTATTTTATTTTCTCCGATTTTAGCAGTGAACATTATCATAAAGTACAATTTAATTTGTCCTGGCCTTCACTCTGTGTGTATAACCAGAGAGAGCAGATCCTTTCTGGTTGCTATTTCTGTGATCACGGGCAGGTGCATGCAGCTACTACGGGCTAGTTGTACAATGAGCTCCCAGGAACACTCATCCATCTGTCACAATGGCCTTAGAGTAGGCA